TTCAATTGTTTTTAAAGCCTTCTTTGTACACGAGTTAGAGATAATCCCAAAGTAATGTTGTAGCCTACTTGCAAGCGTTTCTAGCTAAGACGTATGGCGACGTACACAGTGACGTAACGACGTCGTTCGCTGGGCGCTCTAGTCAGTGGAAAAACAAACAGGTTCTGAGAAGGTTCGCAAGTTGAACCAACTCCGAACCAACTTTGAACCAGCACCAGTTCCGAACCAGTTCGTTTTTGGTGGAAAAGGGGTAAGGGTGTCCCACAGAGGAGGGTGAGCACAGGGGTGCCTCAGGGTGTCCCACGGAGGAGGTTGAGCACAGGGATGCCTCAGGGTGTCCCACAGAGGAGGGTGAGCACAGGGGTGCCTCAGGGTGTCCCGCGGAGGAGGGTGAGCACTGGTGTGCCTCAGGGTGTCCCGCGGAGGAGGGTGAGCACTGGTGTGCCTCAGGGTGTCCCACGGAGGAGGTTGAGCACAGGGGTGCCTCAGGGTGTCCCACAGAGGAGGGTGAGCACAGGGGTGCCTCAGGGTGTCCCACGGAGGAGGTTGAGCACTGGGGTGCCTCAGGGTGTCCCGCGGAGGAGGGTGAGCACTGGTGTGCCTCAGGGTGTCCCGCGGAGGAGGGTGAGCACTGGGGTGCCTCAGGGTGTCCCACAGAGGAGGGTGAGCACAGGGGTGCCTCAGGGTGTCCTGCGGAGGAGGGTGAGCACTGGGGTGCCTCAGGGTGTCCCACGGAGGAGGGTGAGCACTGGGGTGCCTCAGGGTGTCCCACGGAGGAGGGTGAGCACTGGTGTGCCTCAGGGTGTCCCACGGAGGAGGGTGAGCACAGGGGTGCCTCAGGGTGTCCTGCGGAGGAGGGTGAGCACTGGGGTGCCTCAGGGTGTCCCACGGAGGAGGGTGAGCACTGGGGTGCCTCAGGGTGTCCCACGGAGGAGGGTGAGCACTGGTGTGCCTCAGGGTGTCCCACGGAGGAGGGTGAGCACAGGGGTGCCTCAGGGTGTCCTGCGGAGGAGGGTGAGCACTGGGGTGCCTCAGGGTGTCCCACGGAGGAGGGTGAGCACTGGTGTGCCTCAGGGTGTCCCACGGAGGAGGGTGAGCACTGGGGTGCCTCAGGGTGTCCTGCGGAGGAGGGTGAGCACTGGGGTGCCTCAGGGTGTCCTGCGGAGGAGGGTGAGCACTGGGGTGCCTCAGGGCTCGGTGCTTGGTCCGCTGCTATTGTCCATATGAACAACTCTGGTTCGTTGTGGAAATACATTGTGGTTCTTTTAAGTGTCTTGACACCTTAATAAAAATGAATAGCTTCTGCTTTTCATCATTTGTAAGTGTGTGTTTTTCTCACTTTAGATAAAAGCATCAGTTTAAGACCCACTCAGCTTTCCTCATTAAAAGTTTTACACTTTTACACTTTATATTTAGACTGAATAGCACAGTAGCACAGTTTCTATATAATGCTTTCTGAAGTGTCACATTTTAACACATTTTAAAATGTTAATAAATATGTATTGCACTTGATGGAAGACAATGATAGCACACAATGTTTTAATTGCAAGGGGAAAGATGTTCAATATCGCAGATGTGATGTATATGTTTTATATTTGCCCTGACTATCAACAAGTACATGTCTAGGGGACCCCTCAACATTATTCATGAGTAGGTGTGGCTATTTCCCTTTCACATTTCAGGACTGTGGTGAGAAGTGAGTGATGATGAAGGATTTCATGACATATCAACATATATTTTTACACTCTTTAAACAACATAAACAAAACAAGCAATCCAAACAATATAACCCCAAACACAATCACACAGTTCAAACACGGCATAAGAACAGAGTCTAGAGCGATGGTGTGGACCAGCATGTGTGTGTGAGCCAACAGACAGTCCAACAGAAGGAGCATGAGTGGATCAAATGAAACGTGCGAACCAACCGGCCATGTAACGAAACACTTCACACCACAGAACGAGAACCATGCTGCCGCATCGAGCACAGACGTGCTGAAGAGTTTTAAGCTGGACAGAAAACATGTTGGTGTAATCCTTGGATTAAAGGATTTCACAGGCACATGTGAATGTAAGTAATTGTGTCTAGATTACATTGAGATACATCTACATGTTTATTTGCGACGAGACACATGGCCTTCACATTAAAGCACCTGTACCTTCACTAACTGAGGCCGACAGGGAGAGATTTAACCGGTGGGGGTGTGCAGGAGTGCAGGACACGCAAAACAACTTTGCTTTAACCTTTCCATGGGAACATTGAGAATGCTCACACAGTGATTCACTGGCTGATGCGCCAGATATTCACCCCAAATGTAACTAAATAGCAATAAAAAACATAAAGTTAGAAAATACCTGACATTTCAATATTTTAATAAACAATCACGCTATGCAATGCTGTCCTGGTTCTGTGTGTTTCCTCGCCTCCCTCTACACCACACCTGATCATTTGGAGAAAACCTGCAAGAGAACTGAAAGTGAGCAAGTCCTTCCTCGGGGATCGACTGCCAAACCCAGGGCGTCTCCTAGACTCGTACAGGTCACATGGTACCAGTCACATGACACCACTACAACACCAATGTCTACAGTCAAAATACAAAAGAATACATACAAGCACACTTACATAAGTGCAATAAAACAATATCAGATTAAGATTTGCTTACTTTAAAGTCTTACTTTAAAAAATAATTATTATTCTTGTTACAGTAATGTCTGGACACGAAAGGTAAAAGACAGCAGGACAGTTAGAGCCCGTGTTATTTTAGTATCATTGATATACTATTATAAGTCATGTTAATATTTTTAATTCATTAATTCATTTTAATTGTAATTTTTGTTAAAGTTATAGTAATTTTGTTGTGTTTTTTGTAATTTTTATTGGTTGTTCTGAATGTGTTTAAATCTAACCACTTCATATCTCTGTGTGGTTTGCATTGTCACTGGTTGATTTTTATTTGAAACAAATAGTAAAACAAGACAAAACAAAAACATTTGCGCATTATATGTGTGTTCTGGATTGTGAAATGCTGCCTTGGCAACTACCTAAAATAAAATAGTTATTCTTTTCTATTTTGTTTTATGGTTTTAGTTTTAGTGAACAATAATAACCCTGTTTAGAGTTCTTTCACTTGTACACAGTCCATACAATAAACCTCAGTTTACAGAATTGTTTAATAAAGATCACATGATCACCAGTAAGACCGCTCAGTAATTACGGTTATGTGTCTTTTATCCTATTACTACTGTGAATTTTTGAATGTTTCTCACCAACAAATACAGATACTGTGTGCTTTTAAAAAAAAAAAAGGATTTGTGAAGCTCTTTCACACACACAGACACACATGACATCAGCTCTTGACTTTCAGATCACACACGTTTGATCACACTCCTGGGGGAACCGCCTGACGTGATCACACGCTTCAGAACCACACGACTCTTTGAGTCTGCACACCTGTCTTCCTGCTGCTGTTGCATGAAACCACAACAAATATATTTTATAAAAAGAAGAAAAAAAAGAAAAAGCAGGGCAGTTGCGACATGGTTAGAGAGTCGCACTTGCAACCCAAAGGTTGTGGGTTCGAGTCTCAGTACCGGCAGTAAATGTAGGAGTGGGAGTGAATGAACAGCGCTCTCTTCAACTCTCATTACCCACAACTGAGCAGCTCTTTTCTAAAGTTTTACACCTCTTTAACTTCGCAGTACTACTTAAAGTTAGTGACGTTAATCATGACGGACACACAGCTGAAGTACGAGCACAGATGCCGACTCTCACGTGCATACAATCTCGAATTCAGATCTCTTTCACAGCTACACACACACACACACACACACACACACACAATTGTGTGAAAATGCTCATCATGTGGACTGTAGAGTATTCAGCATAAAACGAGAACAAATGGGAGAACATCGGATGTGTAACAGATCCGTGCATTCATTCTTAAAGGGACAGCAGCCTCATAAACTGTTGCCATCCGTTTTATTAATGTTAATTAAAAATGTATATTTAATTCCAACATTGAAAACTATACAGTGGTTTTATTTTAACATTTGATTATTGTTAACATTTGACATGTTAAATAAACCTATGCTACCGTAACCAAAACAATATTTAATTTATGGTAACACTTTTACTTGAAGGGGTGTGCATAAGACTGACATGACACCTTCATAATCATGACATGACACATGTTATGAATATGAAGGAGGGTTTATGCATGTTTATGACAACTGTCATTACGTGTCATTTTCTCAATTATGACATTTTTAATGCAAATATGACATTGTTTGAGATGTCTTTGTTATGACAAATTGACATAAACCAATACATCATAACCTGTCAGTGCTTTGCCATGACAACTTGACATTATCAAGACAACATAAATATGACATAAAAAGACAGATTAATAATCAAACTTAAGAAAGCACTGAGCTTTATGGGTTAACATTACATTAAACTGTCATGTGGCTGGTTTTGACATTGGCTGTCATGAGGCCATTATAACATTTTAATGACAAATTCAATGTGTACCACTGTAGTCGGGGTCAAGAAAAATATTCCTGACACAGTTATAATGCCTCATGACAGCCAATGTCTTGCTTTATTACAGAAGACTGTGTGTAATGATTGTAGTCAGCTTAAAGGGCATTTGTTTTATAATATTGGGTTAAGATCTATTAAACTGTCTACTGCAGTCAAATAAGAAAAGTAACACAAAAAATTCAACTTCAATCAAATCTATGCACATATAGAGTCGAAATTTGATTCAGAATTAAGAATCGTGATCTCAAGTATCGTTTTGAATCGATTTTCGAGGTACCAAAAGATTCCCAGCCCTATGCAATCCTCACTGCCGTGTGTGTGTGTGTGTGTGTGTGTGTGTGTGTGTGCACTTGGATGGGTGAAATGCAGAGCACAAATTCCGAGCATGGGACACCACACTTGGCTCACTTTCCCACTTTCATAGCAACAGGAATGAGCCAATGAGAGGAGAGACTCACCGTGGCCAGCTCGTCGAACTTCCCGAAGAGCTCGTTGAGCAGTTTGACCAGCTCCTGCGCCGTGCACTGCGACGCCAGACTCGTGAAGCCCACGATATCCGCAAACAAGATGCTGGAGGGACAGAGAGCAGGGGGGGTTAGACGGAGCTATTCTCACTTTACATCAAAAGGATCTCAAATTATAATAATAATAATACAAAATGAGCTAATATGTTTGTTTATATTTCCGCAGCAGTAGAGAGCAGTTTAATATGGGTGTCACAATTTTATTGAATGTTTCATCTGATTGAGATTCAATTATTCAGTGTAAGATGACAACTGTCAGGAAAGATCATGTGTGGTGTGAGCTCCGGCACAGAGGCGCTGGCCTGCGTCTGTCTGTCCGCCTGCACTGTAATAATGAAGGGACAGAGACGAGTCCGCTGGGGTTCATCTAGCCAAGGCCGAGCTGGAGCCCCGAATGTTCTTTGTGTTGAAAATAAATCATGTTCATTAGACATGAGTGTAAGCTTTCTCTCGCAGAGGTGCAACCTCTCGGCAAAGGCAATGAGAGTTCATACGCAAGCATAAGGATATTTCTAAATTTGTCATCTATAAGCATAATATGAAGTAAAACGACATATAAATCCGTCTATTTTTACACGTTTAGTGTTGCTATTGATCTCTTGCACAATGAGCATCTGTTTGATCCTCATTTAAACATTTCAGTGGTGTGTTTGTAATTGTTATTTGGCAGGCAGACTGTTCATTTTTTTAAAGATGGTTGGACTAAATCTTCGGTCACTCCTGCAGTGAGTCCAGACGAATCTGAATGTCATAAGCCAATAAAAAAAGCAGGATCAGTCATTTCATACACAGGTGAGCGAGAGCTCAAGGCGTAAGTGGAGAACCAGGCGACCTATATATTGCAAATGGAGCACAACAACAAACTCTGTGTGTGTGTGTGTGTGTGTGTGTGTGTGTGTGTGTGTGTGTGTGTGTGTGTGTGTGTGTGTGTGTGTGTGTGTGTGTGTGTGTGTGTGTGTGTGTGTGTGTGTGTGTGTGTGTGTGTGTGTGTGTGTAAACTAATGATTGTCTCCTCCATATACAGCAAATAGCCTATTAAAGACTGGAATATCCCTCATCATATGACCACCATGCCAAGTTTTTGTAAAGCACATACATTTCTGTAACTGTGTTCTCACTTAAAGGGGACCTCTACTAGAACAGGTTTTTTGATTGTTTTCCATCCAATCAACAGCCCATGATAAAACCAATTCCTGAACTCTGTTTCCTGTTTGAAAAGCTGTTTCACTTCGAGATATATCACAATACAGGAGTGAAGCTGATCACGACCTCTGTTTCAATCCCCGTCCACATATTTTCTTTCTTGTTTTATGTATAAACTCTGTAAACAAGACGTCTTATGTGCATATCTTTGTGCATCTCAAGCAAATGTATCTTGATTTAAGATATTCAGATATTTGAACTTAGATATTTAGAAATTTGTGCTGTTCAACCAGTTAAAAATAAACAAGTCAAAAATACCTAAAGGAAGAACATTTTCCAGGCCAGTAAACAGTTGATGAAACATGAGTCAGATCTGAAGCTCACACCACAGTAACTGAGATAAAGGCTTCAGTCTCTCTGGTTCTCATGAGAGTGTTAATAAACCAGGTCTGATGACGGTTTGGCCACCTGTCATTAGACTGCCTCCCGCTGTCATAGTGATATGATGAAGATGATGATGATACACACACACACACACACCTTGACGGTCCAGAAACACATGAACACTGACGTCCAGCTCCATCTGAGCTGTGAAGCGACACACACATGAGAGCGAGGCGTTCGAGGCGTCCCGCGGAGTGTGTGCGGAGGCGCAGGAACACTGAGCCGCTCAAATGCCGCTCTGTCAGATCACAGATGTCACCGTAACACTGGTGCCATGAATTCAGTTTGCTGTGAGTATCTTAATGCGCGTCCATCTGTGACAGAGTTCATGCTGTTGACGAGCAGTCAGAGGAGCATGAGTGACAGAATCTTTCAATCTATGAAGATAATGAGTGACAGATCAGGACAGAGACGAGCACGAGTTACACATCATTTAATCAGCCTTTATAAGTAATGACACATGATGAACTGAAGACTACTGTTACTAAGTGGTTGCTAGGGTGTTCTTAGTGATTGTGGTTGCTGGGACATTATGGGCAGTAATCATTGGTGTGTCTTATCACTTGCTGTAAAATTTCAATTGTCTGAAAAAAGGCATGCCCTGTAAGCGGTTGACCAATCAGAGCAGAGTAGACCAATCACAACAGACTGACCAATCAGAGCAGAGTAGACCAATCACAACAGACTGACCAATCAGAGCAGAGTAGACCAATCACAACAGATTGACCAAATCAGACCAATCAGACTGACCGCTTACAGAGCAGAGTAGACCAATCACAACAGAACATTGGGTCATCTGACCAATCAGAGCAGAGTAAACCAATCACAACAGACTGGGCCATCTGACCAATCAGAGCAGAGTAGACCAATCACAACAGACTGGGCCATCTGACCAATCAGAGCAGAGTAGACCAATCACAACAGACTGGACCATCTGACCAATCAGAGCAGAGTAGACCAATCACAACAGACTGGGCCATCTGACCAATCAGAGCAGAGTAGACCAATCACAACAGACTGGGCCATCTAACCAATCAGAGCAGAGTAGACCAATCACAACAGACTGGGCCATCGACCAATCAGAGCAGAGTAGACCAATCACAACAGACTGGGTCATCTGACCAATCAGAGCAGAGTAGACCAATCACAACAGACTGGACCATCTGACCAATCAGAGCAGACCAATCACAACAGACTGGGCCATCTGACCAATCAGAGCAGAGTAGACCAATCACAACAGACTGGGCCATCTGACCAATCAGAGCAGACCAATCACAACAGACTGGGCCATCTGACCAATCAGAGCAGAGCAGACCAATCACAACAGACTGGGCCATCTGACCAATCAGAGCAGAGCAGACCAATCACAACAGACTGGGCCGTCTGACCAATCAGAGCAGAGTAGACCAATCACAACAGACTGGGCCATCTGACCAATCAGAGCAGAGCAGACCAATCACAACAGACTGGGCCATCGGACCAATCAGAGCAGAGTAGACCATTCACAACAGACTGGGCCATCTGACCAATCAGAGCAGAGTAGACCAATCACAACAGACTGGGCCGTCTGACCAATCAGAGCAGAGTAGACCAATCACAACAGACTGGGCCATCTGACCAATCAGAGCAGAGTAGACCAATCACAACAGACTGGGCCATCTGACCAATCAGAGCAGAGTAGACCAATCACAACAGACTGGGCCATCTGACCAATCAGAGCAGACCAGACCAATCACAACAGACTGGGCCATCGGACCAATCAGAGCAGAGTAGACCATTCACAACAGACTGGGCCATCTGACCAATCAGAGCAGAGTAGACCAATCACAACAGACTGGGCCGTCTGACCAATCAGAGCAGAGTAGACCATTCACAACAGACTGGGCCATCTGACCAATCAGAGCAGAGTAGACCAATCACAACAGACTGGGCCATCTGACCAATCAGAGCAGAGTAGACCAATCACAACAGACTGGGCCATCTGACCAATCAGAGCAGAGCAGACCAATCACAACAGACTGGGCCATCGGACCAATCAGAGCAGAGTAGACCATTCACAACAGACTGGGCCATCTGACCAATCAGAGCAGAGTAGACCAATCACAACAGACTGGGCCGTCTGACCAATCAGAGCAGAGTAGACCAATCACAACAGACTGGGCCATCTGACCAATCAGAGCAGAGTAGACCAATCACAACAGAACATTGGGTCATCTGACCAATCAGAGCAGAGTAGACCAATCACAACAGACTGGACCATCTGACCAATCAGAGCAGACCAATCACAACAGACTGGGCCATCTGACCAATCAGAGCAGAGTAGACCAATCACAACAGACTGGGCCATCTGACCAATCAGAGCAGACCAATCACAACAGACTGGGCCATCTGACCAATCAGAGCAGAGTAGACCAATCACAACAGACTGGGCCATCTGACCAATCAGAGCAGAGTAGACCAATCACAACAGACTGGGCCATCTGACCAATCAGAGCAGAGCAGACCAATCACAACAGACTGGGCCGTCTGACCAATCAGAGCAGAGTAGACCAATCACAACAGACTTGACCATCTGACCAATCAGAGCAGACCAATCACAACAGACTGGGCCATCTGACCAATCAGAGCAGAGTAGACCAATCACAACAGACTGGGCCATCTGACCAATCACAACAGACTGGGCCATCTGACCAATCAGAGCAGAGTAGACCAATCACAACAGACTGGGCCATCTGACCAATCACAACAGACTGGGCCATCTGACCAATCAGAGCAGAGTAGACTCTCAGAGAGGAGGGGTTTAGAGAGACTGAATCCTTTATCAACCGATTTCATACACTGTGTGTAAAGAGCTGATGCTGCGATGTATATTATAAGAAAATGAGTGTTTTTGACCTTGGATGATAAACCTGTGGTAAGAGACGCAAAAACAACATTAACAATCTTTAAAATAGTAGCAGGGGCACTTTAAAGTGCTGGAATTCTGTGAGCTATATGATCTGTAAAGTTCAAAGTCAAACTGCCTTCTCTGTTGATGCTTCCTCTCACTGAAACATGAATCACCCTTTAAAGTAAATGTTTAAATATGGAAATATATACATATGCATATCACTGTTAGAAATGCTGATCAATATTTGGCGTTAATATTTCAGTGATGTCATTCAGAGTCAACAGGAGGAGGAGGAGGAGGAATGGCGCATATTCCCTTCCTCTGATCTGGACAGAAATACTCTTGAGCATGAGCAGATCTCTGTCAGTGTGTGTGTGTGTGTGTGTCTTTAAGCACTGCCAGCGTTACGCAACAGTCTTTAGTGTCCGTTGCAGTAAATCCCTGCAGAGGTTTAATCTGCAGACCAGCGAAGTGTCTCAGAAACACCGCAGGACACACGGAGCTGAAGGACCTTCACTGATCACGGGATCCTGTCCTCCACCAGAACCCACACTTACAATAGTGAACGCTGACTAAACATCAGCAGAGGAAGTCATGACATCTTCATAAAAGATTATGACAAACATGCATGTATTTGTTTAGAAGAATGTCCTTCACAATGAGACTGAACATGTGCTGTAGGAAAGAGAATAGTAGAGGACGACCACTAGCGATAACCGAGGTGGAAAAATGGGTTTCGAAAATATATATATATATATACACTACCGTTCAAAAGTTTGGGGTCAGTGAGAATTTTATTTTTATTTTTTGGAGGAAAGAAATCAATACTTTTATTTATCAAGGAATAATTAATTTGATCGAAAGTGACAGTAAAGACATTTATAATGTTACAAAAGTCTTTTGAACTTCCTATTCATCAAAGAATCCAAAAAAAAAAAAAAAACTGTACAACTGACAGACCAACAACTGTTTCAACATTGATAATAATAATAATAAATGTTTCTTGAGCATCAAATCCTCATATTATACTGATTTGTGAAGGATCATTTGACACTGAAGACACTGACACTGGTGATGCTGAAAATTCAGCTTTGATCACAGGAATAAATTACACTTTACTATATATTCACACAGAAAACAGCTGATTTACACTGGAATAATATTTAATACTATAACTGATTTTTGTTTTATTTTTAATCAAATAAGCGCAGCCATGGTTAGCAGAAGAGAATTATTTTTAAAGTATTTAAAATCGTACCGACCCCAAACTTTTGAACGGTAGTGTATATATACAAATATATAATAAAAAAATCACAATAATGACTATACCATGAGAATGCATTGTTATTATTGAATCAAATGAATAAAAATAGCTCTGACATGTATAAAATTGTACATTATGTTTATTTTACTGCCAAATGTACAATGTACTTTACAAGAAAGGGCTAGAAATAAAGTAAATTCTAGTCTTTGTGTAATGTAATTTTAGAACAGAACTGTATATATTTCATATCCACGTGAGCTCATGTTTCAGGCGAATGTGTTCATGTAGTTTACGGTGTTATACAGAGGAATAACTATAGCAAACTATCAGCAACTGATGCCACTGCTCTTTGCTGATGGAACCTATAGTAGACTAATTCAGCACTGTAAAATCAATGTGTCAGTCAACCGGGATCAATGCTGACTCGAGGCCCGTCAGTCAGTCAAGGGTGTAAACAAAGAGAACAGTCTCCAGCTGGTTAATCAAGCCGTTATCAAGTTGACCTCAGTGACCTTCACATTCACAGAAACCGTCTCGGTGCGCGTTACCTGACGTTGTCGTGCCGCTGGATGTAAATCTTGTGGAAGATCCTCTCGGGTGGCTTGAGGAAGTCCTCCTTCATCTCCATCGCCACGTTCCTGGGCAGAAGACTCATCAACAGACGCTCCTGCAGGAGTGGACGTTCACATGAGAAATCAAGAACAAGACAGCACGAGCATCTCTGAAGAATCAAGGAATCACGTGAAGTCTGACCTGCTTCTCGTTCTCGTCCTCCATGCGCAGTCGCTCCTCGATGCAGTTTCGGGCCTGGAGAAAGGCTTTCCGCTGTGCTCGCTCCGTCAGGATGCGTACGAACAGACCGGACAGATTCACACTGGTGAAGAGGAGTGTGTTCGCCACCAGCTGCCAACACACAGACCAGATCAATCATTACAAGACATGTTGACACCACACAAGCTTCAATATGACAAGAGGAACTATTCTGCTTTTCTCCATGTTCATCTGTGTTTAGTGTGTACTGTTGCTGTTTGAGCCTGAAGAAGCTTCTTCTCTATATCAGTGTAAGTGTTTCTGAACTCCTGAAATGCCTCCATTGAGTTTCTTCCGGGAACACGTCACAATATTCCTCATTATGATAATTCATACGCAGAATAAAGGGGCGGGGCCTGATTTAGTTAGTAGTGTGTTAAACTGGCGGTTATGGAAAGGGGCGGGACTTTCCCAAACACACTCGAAACGCTCGACCAATCACAGCCGACCAATCAGAGCACAGTGTGCTTTTCAGAAGGAGGGGCTTCATAGAGACAGGAAGTAAACAGAGCGTTACTGACAGACTGGGAAGAGAGGAGCCGCAACAATGGAGAATATGAGGAAAATAATCAACATTCTAGCAGGAAAACCTGTTCTAGTAGAGCCTGAAACTACAAGACTTTGTAAAAGAGCACTAGAACAGTTTGTGTCAGTGGAGCAATGTGAACAACAGCATTAAGTGTGGTTGTGGTTTCGTTTGGACATGTGTTTGTCCTCATCAGGGCAGTCAGTGCTGGTTTTCTGGTCATATTCAGGTCGTAGAGTTAAGAGACGTGAGTCTATCTCCTCTTTATTGGATTAGATTCGTCAGAGGACACACGCACAGCACCTTTATTTAGCCGGCCTTACTTTGCACAAGCACATGCTGAAAACTCAGTGATTTACACACAGACCAACATGAGCAAAAGGTTCAGTGGGCTTTTACATAAAACTCTAGGGTTCCTGACCCAATTTTAAAGAACCTTTTGTGGCAAAAAGCTTCTATATAAGTAGAAATCTCTTAAATGATTGCAAAATACTTTTATGTTTATGTTATTTCAATGTTTTCCACTGATGAAGTATGTTTACACAAAAAAATTTAACTAAATGTATGGTTTGATATAGAAGCGTTTGTTCCAAGAGTGTGTGACTCTCAGTATAAAGTGCAGCATGTTTCTCTCTCTTTTCTAAAGGCATCAGGATGAGGCCGGAAACATTCATCACGCGAGTACGCAAATACAGACATGAAGACTCGGCAACACACTAAATGCACAGTCCCACACACTGAACCTGTGTTTAAACAAAATGATGAAAACTACGCATTAACAATGATTTTTGCAAAGCTCAAATGTTAAGGGGTTGATAATATGAGTAATTATACCAGATGTGTTATTGTTCAGGTAATGTTCATGTAAACATGTCAACTAGCTTTAACTAAGTTGCTCAGCATGACTCTTTTGACCATCATTATGTAGTTGTAGGTATGTATCTGAGAGAGGAAAGTGTATCCGCAGAAGGAGACCGTGTAAGTTCATGTCTAGAATCTAAAGGTGCATCAGTCAAATTGATTAGGCAAAAAAGGTCTGTAGTCCACTGTCAATAGTGTAGTGTATGAAGCACAGCTCACACTGAAGTCACTCACACCTAGCAGCTTTCTGTCACTCAGTACAGTGAGTTCACATCTGCATGTGGAAATCTTTGGCCCTCACACAAAATTCACGATCCTCAATTCAAGCCTTACGTTATGAACTGTGCACTGATACTTTTCAGAAAGCAACTGCTCATGAAACGTGTGTTTCAGGCCTAGAGGGAAATGAAACATTCATGTGAGTGACACTCCGTTCACATGTCTTTCCACTGCACTGCTTTTCCATAAACAAGTAACCAAGCGCTAGACTGACGAGTTTGACTGTTGTTCTCGCGTCTCGCATCTATTGCAGTGTCTCGCACATGACACGGCAATCTAAAAACGAAAAGAAGTTCAACTTAAAAAACGTGTCTGTAGACCTTGCTTGTTTTTCCTTGCACTGACTTGCGTCTCACATTTTTAACCACAAAAAAACAAACACTTTCAGGGTGTCGTGGAGGGGTGAGGTCATCATCTAGCTACTGGAGTGCCTCAGGGCTCAGTGCTGGGACCGCTTCTCTTCTCCATCTACATGTCATCACTAGGATCTGTCATTCAGAAACATGGCTTATCCCATCACTGTTATCATCTAGCTACGGGAGTGCCTCAGGGCTCAGTGCTGGGACCGCTTCTCTTCTACATCCACATCTCATCACTAGTGTCTGTCACTCAGAAACATGGTTTATCCCATCACTGTTATCATCTAGCTACTGGAGTGCCTCAGGGCTCAGTGCTGGGACCGCTTCTCTTCTCCATCTAGATGTCATCACTAGGATCTGTCATTCAGAAACATGGCTTATCCCATCACTGTTATCATCTAGCTACTGGAGTGCCTCAGGGCTCAGTGCTGGGACCGCTTCTCTTCTCCATCTACATGTCATCACTAGTGTCTGTCATTCAGAAACATGGCCTATCCCATCACTGGTATCATCTAGCTACTGGAGTGCCTCAGGGCTCAGTGCTGGGACCGCTTCTCTTCTCCATCTACATGTCATCACTAGGATCTGTCATTCAGAAACATGGCTTATCCCATCACTGTTATCATCTAGCTACTGGAGTGCCTCAGGGCTCAGTGCTGGGACCGCTTCTCTTCTCCATCTACATGTCATCACTAGTGTCTGTCATTCAGAAACATGGCCTATCCCATCACTGGTATCATCTAGCTACTGGAGTGCCTCAGGGCTCAGTGCTGGGACCGCTTCTCTTCTCCATCTACATGTCATCACTAGGATCTGTCATTCAGAAACATGGCTTATCCCATCACTGTTATCATCTAGCTACTGGAGTGCCTCAGGGCTCAGTGCTGGGACCGCTTCTCTTTTCCATCTACATGTCATCACTAGTGTCTGTCATTCAGAAACATGGTTTATCCCATCACTGTTATCATCTAGCTACTGGAGTGCCTCAGGGCTCAGTGCTGGGACCGCTTCTCTTCTCCATCTACATGTCATCACTAGGATCTGTCATTCAGAAACATGGTTTATCCCATCACTGTTATCATCTAGCTACTGGAGTGCCTCAGGGCTCAGTGCTGGGACCGCTTCCCTTCTACATCCACATCTCATCAATAGTGTCTGTCACTCAGAAACATGGTTTATCCCATCACTGTTATCATCTAGCTACTGGAGTGCCTCAGGGCTCAGTGCTAGGACCACTTCTCTTCTCCTTCTACATGTCATCACTAGTGTCTGTCATTCAGAAACATGGCCTATCCCATCACTGTTATCATCTAGCTACTGGAGTGCCTCAGGGCTCAGTGCTGGGACCGCTTCTCTTCTCCATCTACATGTCATCTCTAGGATCTGTCATTCAGAAACATGGCTTTTCCTTTCACTACGCTGATGACACACAACTCTACCTCTCATTCCAGCCGGAGGATTAGACGGTTGCTCGCATCTCAGCCTGACAGACTGACATCTATTACTGGATGAAGGACCACCAACTTCAACTCAACCTTATAAAGACAGAACTGCTTGCGTACTCGGCCATATCCCAACACTTCAGCACAACTTCTCCATTTACAGATCAATAATATTGTTGAATATTAAATCTCCATTCAGCTAGGCTTATCAACCATAACTCCACCCAGGACAGACAGGAACCTTGGAGTTGTGATTGACGATCAGTTGAACTTCACAGACCACACAGATTTGCCTTATACTTATTTATTTATTTATTTATTTATTTAGTTTATTTGATAGGGACCATGCGTATTCATGAACATTGTTGTAGAAAACTACACCATGTAAATACGCCAGAATTAGTAAACAGATACTAGTTTTCATCTGCAGTCCCTATAGGCCGGTAGCAAAAACAAATAAATAAAATAACAACAGTCATACAGCATTCATTCACTATAACAACATACACAAATAAAAATACATTGATATTACAGACAGCGTATAGATAAAAACAAGATGTACATAAAAACACAAACATTATACAATCACCACTATACTACAATTAATTTTAACCACGATAGTTTATGGCTTATATAAGTATGATAGTTAAATATGAGTGCATCTCTGGTTCTCTATGAGCCACTTTTTCAAGTGAGTTTTGAAGGTGTCAAAAGTAGGACACTCTCGTATCGAAAGGGGCAAATTATTCCATAGTTTACCACCTATTATTGATAATACATTTTGTCCAAAGGTGGTACGTCTAAATGGTATCATGCAGTCCCCTTTTGCAGAGGCCCGTGTACTACCTCCACATGCAAGTTTTTGAAAGAAGACATGCAGCGGAGGCGGAGCAAGATTGTTTAACACTTTATAAACCAGACAAACATACTTGAAATTTTTTAGATTGTCGAAACTTAGAAAATTATGTCTCGCTAGGATATCACAATGGTGAAATGACAAAGCTTTTTTATCAAAAATTTTTATGGCTTTCTTAAAAAGAGATTTAATATTTTTAAGCGTAGATATACTAGTTAATGACCAATTTAAAAAACAGTACTCAATATGAGAAAAAATCATAGTATATAAGAACAACTTCGCAGCTTTGGTATTAAGGAATGGCCTAACTTGTTTAAAATTCTGCAAACTGTATTTAACTTTATTTGCCACCTTTTTTACATGACATTTAAAGGTTAAAGTGGAGTCATAAATAACTCCTAAATACTTAAATTCATTAACAATGTCAAGCTCCTGTCCTCTGAAGAATACATTAGAATTTAACACCTTCATGCTTTGTTTGGTAAACGCCATACAAACAGTTTTTTTAGTATTTAGATGGAGACATGACTTAGTGAGCCAGTCATCAATGTGAGCCATTGCTGATGTGAGTGTGGATGCTATCTCCAGATAGTTCTTACCATGTGTGAATATTACGGCATCATCTGCGTACAACTGGACATCAACATTTTTACATGCCTCTGGCAGGTCATTTATATAAAGTGTAAATAAAATCGGACCAAGTATGGAGCCTTGAGGGACCCCTGCAGGACATTTGCATAAAGGGGACGTTGCATCATTAATACGAACACATTGCTTTCTACATGACAAGTATGATTTTATCCAGTTGAGAGCTTGCTCAGAGAAATTAAAATATGTTAATTTAGATAAAAGAACTTCATGATTAACAGTATCAAAAGCTCGCTTTAAGTCTAAAAAAACAGCACCGACGCAAGAACTCTTATCTAAGTAACCTTTAACCTTTTCCAGAAACAAACAATTGGCTGTTTCTGTTGAGTGATGGGCCCTGAAGCCAAATTGCAAGGGATGGAGTGAGTTTTCGCTTTTATTGAGATGTTGGATCAATAAATTGATCCAACATTATGATAATACAACATAATACAACATTATGAGGACCAGGCCCTTCCTATCGGAGCTACACAACTCTTGGTCCAAGCTGTTGTTCTCTCCAGACTGGACTATTGTAATGCCTTCCAGCATGCACTGCAGCAAGAGTGGTGCCAACCATTCCTGACATGATTTCCATGCGTTATATTAGTGATATGTCTGTATGCGTCTGTATGTATACTTCACAGTCACACCTATAGACGTCTGTGGATCCGGTGTGGATCATCTGAAGCCTCATTGCTCATTTCTGTGCTAAAATAGCTTAGAGAAGTGTGTCTGGTCTCTGTTCAGAGCCGTCCTACTTCGAGCCGCTCGTCCTCTGGGTGAATCTGGACCCAACTAACAGTTTCTGAGATCTTCACAACACTGCTAAACACTGCACTTTTGATAACACCTTGAATAGTCATGTTTCAATTGCACTAATCATAATTACAGTTAGGGTCACTTTGTGACAACAATGTGCAATATCTTTACTGAAACGGTCAAGTTTCTGTATTGTAGTGTTACACTTAGGGTGTCTTAAATATTGTTGTGTTGTCATGTGTGGATGCACCGCAAGGTTTGCTAATTCTTTTCATTGTATAATACATACAATGGCAATAAAAGGAATTTAATTTAATTTAATTTAATTTAATTGATTTCCCATTTGCCACAAAAGATCAAATCCACAATAGCGTTTCTGACTTTCCATAAGAGGACAGAAATATCAAGAGATTGATTACGTTGATCAGAAGAGAGAAAGATGTCAAAAAGCAAGGCAGTTTAATGTCTTAAATTATTGCAAAATGCTTGCATGTTTATGTTATTTCAATGTCTTCTACTGATGAAGTATGTTAATGAGCTGTTTAATCCATAACATTTAATTAAAAATTGAAACAAAATTAATTAATTGAAACTTAATCTATAAAATGATCCCATGATGTAAGCCCTAAAAGCTGCTTGACGAAACCCTTTATGGTTCGATATAGAAGTGTTTCTGCCAAGAGTGTGTGACTCTCAGTATAAAGTGCAGCATGTTTCTCTCTCTTTTCTAAAGGCATCAGGATGAGACCAGAAACATTCGTCACGCGAGTACGCAAATACAGACATGAAGACTCGGCAACACACTAAATGCACAGTCCCACACACTGAACCTGTGTTCTCATCTGAAAACAAACCAATAAAAACTGCCCATTAACAGAGTAGCATTAACTAGTGTACTTTAATAATGCAGTAGATGTAACACAAAGTATTTTGTAATAAATATACACACATTTTTAAAATAGATTTGTGATGCTTCATCACAGTCTTTTCCTCCTTCAAAACCTTCCAGCAAATCAACAGACATGATTAAAGCGTTAACCTTTCAGAAAAGTGAATGATAGCAGGACTATTTTGTTTAAAATCAATCTGTACAATGGCAGCTAATTTGAGATAATCAGTTAACATATTTCACCTTAATAAACTCGGAGATTAAGTTAGCAGAACTTCTGATTCAGATTTTCCTACTAAAACAAATCATTTAGAAGAGTACTGGTGTGCATTTACAATTAAATACTATTTCAGTCTTTCTCCCTTATAATGTCACGTGTAATGCCATCTGTGCCGTTTCTTCCTAATGAATTTGTTTGTGAAATTTAGCAATTTGCTGAGTGAAAACATTTCCCTCCTCGAGCATGCACTTAACTCGAGAACAGAGTAACTCATACAGCTTGATTGCATGGCAGGAGTGTTTTAAACATCCGAACCAACAGATTGACGCAGAGCTTCTCAGACATAATCTTGATTATGCGTGATGATCAAATAGGCTAGATGAGCTTTAGAAAAGCCTGTTGATCAATCAGCTTATGTATTGTATTTCCCTGCATTGTAGCAATTATTGCGTTTAACATGGAAAGCGCGCGTCCGGTGTCGGTGTCTGAGCGCGCGCGCTCGCTGTCCAGTGCTGAACTCATGAACTACATTACGCGTGTGTATAAAGAAGCAGAGGCTCACCGCTCTCCACAGGCGTTGCGTCTTCACCGTCACCGACGCGGCCGCGACCACCGTGTGCGACACGGACACCAGCAGCCCGAAGAGCAGCGCCAGCAGCGTCCGCACGGGCAGCAACGCGTACGCCACGAACGTCAGCAGCAGCAGCGGCCACACGCCCTGCTCCGGACCGGCGGCGCCCGACGCGACCGACGCGTGCGGGAACGGGCAGCACAGCAGCGCGAAGGTGAGGCTGAAGAACAGGCTCAGGTGCGCGATCTGCTGCAGCTGGGGCACCTGCAGGTACTTGACGTTGCTGACGATGAAGAGCGCGATGAAGACGACGCAGTGCACGGGGTAGGAGCACTTGGCGACGCTGAGGCCGGCGCCGGACAGCAGCAGCTCCAGCAGACTGAGCCCGGAGGACAGCAGGAGGAGCACGCACAGCGCCTTCAGCGTGGACGCCTGCTCCAGCTTCAGGTTGTAGTTGTGGAAGAGCGACTCGAGCTCCTTGCAGTCGAACTCGTCCTCGCACGCGATGACCCCGGGCGGGCAGTGGCTCCTCCGGCGCCGGGTCTTGACTTTCTGGAACGGCAATTCGTCCATGGCGCGAGGGCCATTCACGCGCCGGAGAGACGCGCGATCCGCAGGTGGTGCAGAGGCATGTCTGGCGGGAGAGATAGAGCTGGGTCGCTCGAGAGAGAGAGAGAGAGAGAGAGAGAGAGAGAGAGAGAGAGAGAGAGAGAGAGAGAGAGCGAGAGAGAGAGAGAGAGAGACTGGCTTCGAGCTCGCGCGGCTCAGACTGGATCACGCCTGCGCAACGCGAGCCGCGATAATTCTGCTGATTGACAAGAGCGCGGATCTCCGACGAGCAGCGCGAGCGAGGCACACACGACACACACACACGGTGTTCAACACACGGGCTGCAACTTGAAGAAAAGAAAAAAAGGAAGCTGGAAAACAGGGAAAATGTAAACATATACAGAAGAACCTGTAAAATGTTAAATTTGAAAAGCATGTTGCTATTAAAATTTGTTTCAGATCTTTAAACGTATATTCTGACCTCAACCATAATAACACTGATGAAGAGAAAGTCATGATGAATCGAAGTTCATCAAAAGCAGCAGAGATAAATGCACACAGTGTCACACACACACACACACACACACACACACACACCATTCTAACAACACAGACACTAAACTGATGCAGTAAACATTCATTTCACAACATTAAATAGAACATAAAAGTATATGTTAGTATATATAGTATATTATATGTATATAACTGATAACTGATAGCAAAAACTAAGAAGAAACATTATTAAAAATGAAAAACCATCAAATGACCGGTGCTTTAACCCACACAGACTGTTTTACTTCAAATGTGTGTTTCTGATATTTCACCCATCATAACCATTTTGGTAAATTGTAGTTTAGAATCTGCAAATCCTTGATAAATCTGGTCAGGGTCATTTGAATATTAACAATTACAGGCCAATCTCTAATTTCTGGCAAAAATTTTAAAGAAAGAAGTAGCCTCTTAAATACTATCCTACTGTTTCTGAACCTTTTCAGTCTGGATTTCGCCAATCACACAGTACTGGAATGGCTCTTATCCGTGTGGATGATGATATCCTTGCTTGGATTCCAGGTTTAGAAACATCCTAATTCTCCTCGATCTAAGATCAGCGTTTGATACGATCTGTCATGATGTTCTCATTTCCCGTCTCCCTGATATCGGACTCAGTTGTTCTGCTACTGCACTCTAAAAAACACTAGGTTTTCAACCCAAGGGCTGGGTAAATATAGGACAGAAAACATAATTTTACCCAGCAAATTGGGTTGTTTATTTAACCCAGCATACTGGGTTGATACATTTTTACTATAGTACGAGATTCTTTTTACTTCATACATGAACTAATGTTTATGGATTAACTTAATCCTCTAAATAAAATAAAATAAAAACTCCACACAATCACTGGTTTGCATTGTAATTCCTTTATTTTGTATCATATTTTAGAGTATAGCATATTTTATATAGTTTTGAATACATATAGCTCGTTTAACAAATCTTAAAAGTAAAAATCACATCGCGCCCCTGTATGTTGCTTTGCATAAAATTAAACAATATACCAATGACGAATTTATAGATAAAATAAAATGTACACAAACCTGTATTTTGCCGACATAGCTGCGCTGCTCTCTCCTGAAGAGGGCGCAAAAAGCCCGCGATAAATAACTCAACCCCTGGGTAATGTCTGAGCCAGGATCTGGGTTACACCAAAACTACCCAAACATTGGGTTGTTACATCTGACCCAGGATCTGGGTTACACAAAAACTACCCAAGCATTAGTTGTTAGGTCTGACCCAGGAGCTGGGTAACACAAAAGCTACCCAAGCACTGAAGAAATAACCCCAAAAATTGACCCAAAAAGCTCAACCCAGGATTTGGGTAGAACAAATAACCCAATATGTTTTAGAGTGTATGAAGGGTGTAAGTGCCCCACAGCTGCACTGACACAGGGTGTTCCACAGGGCTCCGTTCTTGGTCCGTTGCTTTTATCATCTACATGCAGACACTTATGGACTTCGTTTTCATATGCTGACGATGTCCAAATATATCTTACCACCTCCTCTGATATTTCATCTCTGCCCGACTCACTCACCGCATGTATTAGAGAAATCAAACACTCGATGTCTCTGAACTTTCTTAAATTAAATGACAGCGAACCGAAATAATGCTGATTGGCTCCACCAAACCTGTAAATATAATGGACCTGTGCTTTGTCTTAGATGGGGTTCTTGTTAAACTCTTCTCCCCTGTAAGTAATATTGGTGTTTTATATGATTCCTCTCTTCCATTTGATTCTCATATTACTTCAGTTGTTAAAAACTCTTTTTATCGGCCGCTTCCGCTCCTCCCTCAATCTGACGGATATAGAAATCCTGTTAGCCATGTACTTACTATGTACTTATTATAGTAATTATAATTACTGGGTAATAACTAGGTACTAACCCTGAACCTACCCCTAACCCATGTACTTACCTTATATTAGCCAGTACTTTCAAGGTAAGTACACTGTAAGTACTGTACTGTAAAAGGAAGTGTTACCCACACACACACACACACACACACACACACATTAAAAAGCTACAGTATGAATGCTCAGCTTTACTAGATGTAGTTTGTAATATCTTCATAATATTTCTTCTCTATCTGCCTTTACGTCTCAATTTAAAACGTACTTGTTTTCAATGAATTGTATTTGATGTTTTTGTTTTTAGTTGTGTGTTGTTTGTAAACTGTATGTTCTTCAAGATTACAGTTTTTCATATATATTGTTCCGTACTTATTTTTAATTTTTTTATTTATTAATTTATTTGGATGGGACAAGCATATTGATGAACGTACAAGGTAAATGGACGTATACGCCGGATTTAGCACAGTGCTAATTTCCATCCCAGACAAGGAGAAACAAACAAAACACTGACAATAAAACCAAACAGACATATAGAGCTAAAATAATTAAAAGTGCCTATGCTTAATTAAAAAAACTTGTTATAATAATTGTTTAAAGTGTGTATTTTAAAATGCCATAGACATCCTAAAGTGCTTGTTATAAATGTACCTATTTTAAAGTGCATGTTTGAAAGGGCCTGTGCATAGTTCTTACCTAATGTTCACAGTTATGATTGTTATTCAGCCAACTTTACAGCTGTTTCTTAAAGTGGGGCCACCTCTAATTACCGTTGGTAAAGTGTTACAACTTGCGCAGCCTTTAATAGAGAAGACGTTTTGTGCAAAAGTAGACTTTCTAATTTGTACTTCACAATCCCCCTGAGTAATTGACCCAGTACCAGTCTCGCTGTTTCTCTTTTTGATAAAAAAAAGACCCCTTCATTGATCTATATATAAGACAGCTACTTTTAAATATATTTTGAGATTTTCAAAACTTAGGAATTGATACTTCTCTAAAACTGAACAAAGGTGAAATGACTGTGGTTTCCTATCAAACACCGTAACTGCTTTTTTGTAGAGTTGATCAATGGGTTTTAGTGCCGTGACACCAGCAAACCATGTATTCGATGTGAGAGAGAATCATACAATGGATAAATTAAATGTTACGGCGCGTTGGTTACCTTTATATGTGTTTTGTGAAGGCGAGGTTCGAAGCTACTATAACCCCGAGTGCTTGAACTGAGTTACCAACTCCAAGTCCTCCCGAAAACACAGGAGATCTGCTGCTCGTCGGTGGTTGTTTGGCAGGCGTCGGACAGTCACGTTTTACAGTATTTGGTTTCACTGGGTTTTTTGTGAACATCATAACGACGGTCTTTTTGGTGTTAAGAGTGAGACGGGTTTGACTTAACCAGTTTTGAACTTTGGTTAGTGCAATTGTAAGGTTTATTGTACCATGTGTGAAAATCCTAGCGTCATCCTCATACATCTGTACATAAGCTCAGATCCTTAATGTACATCGAGAATAATAAAGGCCCGTAATTTGTGTAATTACACTGTAACACTGGCACCTTAAAATAAAGGCTTACACTATTTTAAGGTGTCATAGTTACAGTGTAACTATATATTTAAGTACTGAGTAATATACATGTACTTACTATAGGGTTAGGGTTAGTTGCATGTAATTATGCATAATGTATAGTTATTACAACAGACATGTAACGTGTAACAAGGACACTGTAAAAAATAAAATGCCATTTTTACGGTAAAATACCAGCAGCTGTGGTTGCCAGAACTTTACCGTCAAAAATATAGTACAGACGTTATTGGTTTTACAGACTTAACTTGAATTTACAGTAATAAACCGTATTTCATTATCTGATATAATGTTAATTTAACAGCCTATTTATGTAGTAATATCTGTTTTATACCATTGTAATATACTGATAAACAACAATCATCACAGCAGTGATGAAAGTCACATAATAAATCAAAGCTCATCACAAGCAGCTCTTTCACAAGAAAGTTAATACTAATATAAAGAAGCTGCACAGTGTCATTCGCACAAACACTAAACAGCATCATGGTAACACATGAAATTTTAAAAATGCAATAAACATTAATACTCTAAAAACTCTAATGTACATAACTGATAAGAAAAGAACTAAGAAAACTAAGAAGAAACCGTTATTTCAACAAAAAATACATCAAATGTGAAGTGTCACGCAGGGAATTGTGGGAATGTCAATTTACGTTTTTTCACTGTAAATTATACAATGAGTTGCTCTTTTTTACTTTCAAAAACTGTAAATTGAACGGTACTTTACAGTAAAATTACATTAAATGTACCGTTAGATCTATCACAGTTATTTACCGTATATAGTACGGAAACTTTCTGTTAACCAATTAACAGTTTTTCACTGTAGCATTTTTACAGTCTTTTACCGTTAAAATCACGATCATTTTTTACAGTGTAGAGTTATCTCCTTGTTTTATTTACAACTTTCAAAAAATCTCTCTCTCTCTCTCATAGTGAATGATAACAGAGAGCTATCACAGATCGTCCGATCTGACCTGCACGACACACACGTTCATGTTGATTTATCGTCGTCCTTCGCTTCACAGATGGAAACTATGCAGATGAAATCATGCTCTTATCCTCAAATATTCAATGTGCAAACAGATCTCAATGCTCGTTTTTCAGGATGACACTTGACTTCATTTAAGACTGTAAAAATGCTACAGTTACCGTGTTTGTTCTTATATGTAGGATTAAGGTTAGAGTGTGGTTTAAAGTT